TGAATATGTATTATTTCAATCTACAATCTGTAACATGTTCATCATATTTGAAAACATATTCATTTTATTATGTAACATGTTCATTATATGTCAGTATAATAAAATAATTACGAAAAATTATGAAAAATTATGAAAAAACGAAAAATTAGTTGTGTTCAAAAACCTATCAAATGTGGTCTCTATTTATAGATAATGAAAAATTATGAATTTTGGTATTTTTATTTTTGTTTTTAATATAAATAATTAATGATATTTTAATTTATGTAATATGTCCCATTTTTTAATTAAAAAAAAAAATTGGGGATGTGAACTACACTCTCCAAATTTCTCTAGTATTGGGTAGTTTTGGAGAGTACAAGGGCGCGTGCAAATGATTTTGGGGATGTTTTTAATTTATGTAATATGTCCCATTTCTCTAGCTAGGTGTGCCAGGGCACACGGTAGTGGTACTTGACATATATTAGATGATTTTGATCAAACAATAGGCAACTCTCATCAAAACTCTTGTAATTTGAGCCCTCAAGCTGAAAAGTGAAAAACTTGCACGCGTCTATGTGTGTGAGTTGTGTGTTTAATGGGTGTATGGTTGCAGTCCAAGTGGCTGAGGTGTTGCAGGAATTTCTTCTAATGGAAAGTTTGATGACCAGATCAACAAGTGGAGAATGAAAAATTTTGTACAAGGTGGGAGAATACATTTTGAATCAAACTTTGGCAACATTAGTGGGAAATTTAAGTAAACCGGGCATGCTTGTTTACGAATTAATTTACTCACATTTAATTCAGGGTCAAAATCTAACTTAATTTTAACTCAACTCCATTATTCTCAATATTATTCATATAATTAAATAACACGAAATAATTATTCTTACACATCACATCAACTTTAATTCACTATTGATCCACTCACATAATTTTAACTACTTATGATTTTCAATCATTTTCAATCATTTATCTCATACTTTTATATCAAATCAATTTTAATCATTTTATCTAAAACATTATATTAATATTGTTAGTTATGGAAAATGTATTCTTGTATTGTAGGTTAGGCTTAGCCAGCGCGTGAGGCTCACCCTCGTCTCCGATCATCACCGTTTCAGCCATCAACTCCTGTTATCAATGGCAACTTTCTGGTTTGATCAGTTTTGGTATTCGTGACCTTTTTAATTTCTGCATGTACTGATTTTTTGACTGATTCGTGATCCGATTCGTACTCTGATTTCATCTGTTTATGATATTGTGTTGATCTGTAATTTTGAATGTGGATCATACGGATGTGCATTCTCCTATTAGTGTTTTATTATCAGGAGATAATTATAGTCTTTGGGAACAGTCTATGAAACGTTTTTAATTGGGAGAAAATTGTGGAGAAGTGTGAATGGTGATGTATTGATCATCTGTGCATCTATCTCATAGTGGGGATACCAACCCCACCCCACAGGTTCTTACGGCATATCCATGAGTTGGAGTATAGGGATAGTAAGAACCATCCAATTTTTACTTGGCTACGTAACACTTCAGTCTCTGCTATTCAGGTGCAATTTACCTCATTTGATGGTGCGAAGGAGGCTTGGGATGTTTTGGCTGCTCGGCTTCAGACTACTGGTCTGGCTCGCTATTATTAGCTTTTGAATACCTTGCATTCCACCAAGCAGCAACCAAGTCAATCACTCAGTGAGTTTTTTGCACAAGTACAACCTATCCGGTATCGTCTATGATAAGGCTGGAACATTTTTTATCTTATCCAGATTTTGATGGTTGTTCGTCCTGAATATGAGGTTGTTCGTGCTTCTCTCTTACGTCGTCATCCTCATTTGACTGTCACTCGCCCTGATATAGCTCGTGTTGTTCACATTGTGAGTCAGTTTATGGCTGCTCCGAGAACAACACATTATAGAAGTGTTGCACATCCTTCGCTATGTGAAGGGAACTCTATTGCATGGTTTACACTTCTCGGTCCATTCTTCCTTGACACTTAGTGGCTCTTCTGATGCAGATTGGGCTGGAGATCCTAGAGATCGCCGTTCCATTACTGGGTATTGCTTCTTTCTAGGTGATTCACTTGTCTCCTGGCGCAGTAAGAAGCAAACATTAGTTTCCAGATCGAGTGTTGAGTGTGAGTACCGTGCTCTTGCTGATTGCACATCAGAGCTATTATGGATACGTCGGCTCCTCACTAATCTCGGTGCACCTCAGTCGTCGTCTACTGCTCTGCATTGTGATAGTCAGAGTGCTATCAACATATCTCACAATGATACCTTTCATGAGCGCACCAATCATATTGAGACTGATTGTCCCTTCATTCGACAACATGTTGCCCATGGGACTGCAACTTGTTTCAGACTTTCAGTCTCCTCTACGGATCAAACTGCGGATATCTTCATATAATCTCTCATTCTTGACCGCTTTTGTTTACTTATTGACAAATTCAAGTTGATTTCCACTATACCACCTTGTACTCTTGTATTGTATGTCAGGTTTAGGCTCAACCTAAGGTTAATGTCCATCTTTATATCTATATATATGTGCACATGTCTTGTGAATATACGTACAACACATTTTTTCCGCATTCTCACAAATACATTCTTAAAATCTCACTAATTACTAATCATATCACCTTTGTCAAATTCAACTCTGATTGACCAAAAAAAAATCATTTTAAATAAATTATTTGATAAGCTTATTTTAAATAAAAATAAAAAAAGAAAACTTATTTTAAATAAATTATATATCATTTTAACCCAAGTTGAACCACAATCCATTTATTGGAGTCCTTACTGTTGCTCAATGTTAAGTGAATTTAATTGGCTTAATTCAAATACCTCTTGAATGATCTTGGCTTGATCATGATATTTGCGGGTTGTCGTATTCCCGTAGAGTTCTAGCTTAGGCCGTAGGCCTCTTTCTTTGCACCAAAAAAAATACCTCTTGAATTATTGTAGTGATCATATTGTCTATAGGATTCTCGAAGACAAAAACAATTAATAGAATATTAACTTTATTAATTAGTTCCCTAGTATGTTTAATAAATAGATTTATTTTTTTGATAATATTCCTATTTGTTTCTTTTTGTAGGCAACTTAGAAGGATGGAATGACGTGAACTGTTGGACCCCAACACATTTTTTTTTTTTTCCTTTCTTAAAAGGAGATCAATATGGTTCCCCAATTTCCCCCCGAGCGAAGGTATGCGCCACTCGAACTCGGGACCCCAACACATATATATATATATCTCCCAGATTTTAAAGAAAGAGTATTGCAAGACATTGTGGATACTGTTGATTTCCCAAATCCTGCATATATGCAAAGTCATTTTCTTACTTATTAGTTTCGAAAACATGACATGACATAAAAGAAGATTTTGAAATCTAATTAAAGACCAGCACTCATAAAAGAAGTCAACTTATTTAACTTTGAGATCTTGACCTTACATCCAAAAGAAGAAGACTTTATATATCGCTAATCTTCACTGCATCATTGTTAAAGCTTTGAACGTGTTATTGTACATGACCAGAATACTTACGAGTTTAAAAAAATTCAACACTTGGAAGAAGAGTTCCTCAACCTTGAAGTGTAGGGTCGAAAGGATTCAAATAGGAAGTTCTATTACTTTACGCGCAACCAATTATTAGTAAAATTGTTTAGCAGATTGACAAGTTGTGTTGTGCTAACAAATTACATACTTATGCTATAAAATGTCGTACATTTGTTTACGTTGTCTCCGATATTATGACATTCTAATTTGAAAATTTTATGTATAACTTTTAAAAATGTTGATTTAGTCATGCTATTAGACCTACATCAAGACTATATATATCTTAATTATTGTTAATTAAGTAGATACTATCATTATATTTGTGTAGTATCACTTTCGTTTTGCACACTTTGAAAGAGACAAAGACACGGGCAAGGGTCCCAATTAGGCATCACTCTATCACCTCACCTAGGATAAATATTTGCAGCCCTCCATACGTTGATGATTTTGTGTGTTTCAAAAGAATGATATTGTCGTCAAAAATCATAGTTTATTTCCTCAATCTGCTTTCAATTCTATTGAAATTATTCAATATATGATTTTTTTTATTTATTTATTTTTCTCAACATTTGGAATATTTGCATCCATGTCGGTGTGGATTAAGACATTTTTTGCATAATAATTCCACCTACTCAGTCTAAAGTGGCTTATTATTGTCCACTAATACATATTTTAATTAATTATCATCAGCAGCAGTCTTATTAACAGTACATAAAAATTGTAGGGAAATGCAATCACTCTTTCAAGTAGAATTGAAAATGCGTGCTGTGTAAATTAATTAAAGAGCCTTAAAAGAAAACTCAACTCAAACTCATGATACTCAATAAACAAATCAAGGCGAGCTCGAGTTTTAACGAGTAAGATTCGAATCAAAACCCACGAAGCAGCTCGCAAACTCGAGTTTTAACGAGTCGAACAGAATCGACGAAACGGCTCGTTTCACTAGCAGCTCTTATCCTCAGGGTGTGGGAATTTTTTTTTGTTTTTTCATTAAGCACGTGTCAGGTCAAAAATAAGGAGAGGCTGCAGTATTAATTAATGGTTGGGTGGTTCGTTCATCCCATTTCATTCTTCTACCTAATGCATTACTTCGCAAGTCACGTGACTGTCGCGCGTGCCTCCTTCCGGACAAAAGAGAGCACAAAGCACAAAAATAACATGTATCCCGGACACTCGGCCGTCAATGTTGCCGGTTAGGAGTCGTGAGTTAAAAATAAGCACTGAGTTGTCCTTTCAAGTAGAAAAACAACAATTAATTTTTACTAAATAAAAATTACTACCAAATTTCACACCGACGGAAAATAAAAGGACCCAAAAAAAAATAAGACCACGACTCTCAAGGATGAAAAATTAAATAAAACAAATAAAATACCACTCACAAAACTGCCAAGAAACTCGAGCAAATTTGTTGCTGATTTCGAGATTACATTATTATTAGTTATTACTACTACTTGGTAATAAGACGCTCAAAGGGCCAACAGCGGGTCCGACCCGAATATATCACCGATGTCTTGAAAGCAATCATCCACCTGCCAGGTGGAGGGACCGAACCCGAAATCCGCACTGGACCCGTTAAGCGCATCATCCGGGCAGCAGAAATCCGGCCCGAAAATGCCGCCCGAGAAACCGTCATTGTCAAACAAACTGGGCCCCGCCACCGAGTTCTCCAACTCGGCAAACAAATCGTCACTCGGCCCGAATATCGAGAAATCTGGGAATTTCCCGTCGCTCCTCGAAACGGTACCTTCCGGCTGAGAGAAAGCAGAGCACGACTCGGTCTCGGCTTCGGCTTCGGCCTCCGCTTGGGATTCAACCGCCGAGA